CTCTCCATGAAACTTCGCTCAGTGCGCATCTCTTTCTCCAGCTCCTGCAGACGCTGTTCCACACGAGACGACACCTGCAGACAGTGAGACAGAGGACACCTCAGGTCAAGCAAACATCCCCGGTGCAGGAATGGCAGCAAGATATGATAAATGAGACACCAGGAAATTAAAAGGGTGGGTGACAAAAATATCTCTTAGAGCTGACTGGAAGTATTACATTCATGACGCAAGAATTCCCTGTCTAATCAGGAAGCATCTCATCCACCTGTAAAAGACAGTTAATACCTTTATCTTGTCACGTCCACAGCCGTGGCAAGATAAAAAATATTAAACATGTTGGCTGTCATTTCAAGCAGCATATTTGTCACAGTAGTGACGGTGCAGCGAGGAGCCATGTGTCTGGAAATTATACAGAGATATTTGCTAAAGTTAGACTTCACTGAAGTTCCATTTGAAAATGGGGACACCATTTGTCCGTAGCTGTTCTCTATTCAGAAAACTAACATATTTGCATACTGCATGCTTTATACAGCCATTTTTTATGTATCAATAACTGTGCTGTGAGGTCCTTAAATTCGGGATGCATCCACTTTTCTTCCAAAGTGCACTGAGCTAGAAAGCATACTTGAAGTATTGTTGGTGAAATTCACAGCTACAACTCACTGAGGCCTGTCTCTGGGAAGTCGTCATGTGTCCTGAGAGGCTCTCCATCGCTCGTCTGGTGTCAATATCAGACCTATAAAAAAATAAATAAAAAAAACAGACAAACACAGCAGACTGAAGATATTTACACAGTAGAGTTCGCCATCATTTTGAAAAATTCTATTCCAGGACATCATTGATCAAACGTTGAATGCATAATGTGACAACTAAAAAATAATTATGCAGCTTCAGTTGAAATACAGTGGTTGATGGTGGATCAATTTAGTCCGGTCAGCAGCACCAAGGAGGAGAGATTTTTAAATATCCTGAAAATGTCATGTTGGGAGGGAGAAAGATCTGCTGCCTTTTGACTTTCCAGTGCCGTCTCTTTTAGTCTTTCAAGGACACTTTTATCACTTTATCATCAAATACATTTCAAAGACCTGAAAAACATACATTTGTTTGCAAAGCTCGAGCAAAAACTGTTTCTGTAGAGCGGGTATAAAAACTAAAACATGTACGGTCTAATTTAGGGTAGAAAATAATATAGAAAATCTGTGGGCAGACCTAAAGAAGAGACTGCATAGATCAGAAGAGTAACCCCTTGCACTTTGCGTGGATTACTAGATCAGTGTGTACAAGATTCGTAATGTCTTATCCAAACATCCAAACTGGTCTTAAAACAAAATATGCTTCTTCTTGCAGACTTAGGAAATCAAGGTCATTTAGTGTTTCGTTTTAACAAACTTTAAGCCTTTAAACATGAATATGCAAAAATCTATTTAAAAAAGAGCCTGTCGATGATTTTAAGATTTTTTTATTTCAGACTTCAAGGCAATTAAACAAAAGTATCTGAGAATATTTTGTTTACTGTGCATGCTCATTGTCTCCAGTTTTTATAATTTAACTAACTTATGCAACTTGTTATCATGAAAGGTAACAAATAAAGGTAAAAACAAAAAATTCAATTCAGCTCTAAAAATCACCTCGTCTCATATTGTCTTTGAAGAAGTATCTCTGACACTGTGACCTCTTCAAGGTCTTTGTTGCTTATGTTTTGTTTTGTTTTTTTTACAGTCTTCATTGCCTTATTTCTAACTATTTTACTGTTGTAAAGCACTGTGTGGCCTTGCTCTGTGAAAGGTGCAATCATTTTACTTAACTACAAAAAAAAGAAAAGAAAAGAAAAGACAACTGGTAAATTCAGTTGTGTACTGGTCAGTGTGATATGTGGAACAAAAAACATAAGTTTAATATTTCAATATTCAGATGTTGCTCCTCCCCTCAGGTACCTATTTCTCCTAAGGATTTCTCTATCCAGGTCGTCAGACAGCCTTTGCTGGTCACATCGCAGATCCCTCAAGGACTGGTGCATAGTGTGAACCTATGTGGCCCAGCCACGGGTGGATACAGAAAACAAAACATTATACACAAGCAAAGCAAAGTAAAAAGTTGGCTATGCTTGCCTTTACAGAGAAGCACATTTATGGCAACCACTATGGAATGCATAATGAAAATTAAATAGTTATTTCTGAACACACTGTAGGCCTCTGTAAAGGAAAATATTAACATGAACGATATCTGATTTGAATGAAATCTTATCAAGCTGCTTTAAGATTAGCATAACAAATTTAGTATCTGTGTTGCTGACCCAGTATGCCCTCTTGTGGAAACTATTTGAAACTACATGACAGTAACACATGGCACTGATTGGTAGATGGTCTGTCTCCATTCCTTACATCCTCTCCTGCCAGGTTGGCATCTTTGAAGTGAACACTGGCAGACTGAGACCTCCTTCTCCGTCCTGGAGTGGCTGTATAGTCCCTCAGTGGAGAAGTACGGTAGAAACGCTGGCCATCTGAAATAACAGATGTGACATAAGTGTTAAAGCAGGAGCCAGAGCCTTTGTAGGCTGGTTACTTAAAAAATATTTAACCATACATAAACACCAAACACTCACTCAAGGTGCACAACATTGTTAATGTGTTCTTTTTGTGTTTGTTGTCATTATAGTATCATTTCATCTCTTTGTAAATTATCTAGAACTAAGACTACAATCAGAGGACAGCCGACAGTGAAATCCTTTCTATTATCCCGTCAATTTCTCCGTACCCGATCCCGAGCAAGCTTCCAGGTCACTGGTATGTAAAGTGGAGGCTGAAGCACTCCGAGCCCCATTGGATCTGCCCAGCCTCTGCGTCTGCAACTGACTGATGGACTCCTCCAGGTTCTCCCTGAGCTGATGCAGGAAAAGAAGCATATACAAACAACAATCTGAAAAAACAATGTGTCAATAGCCTTATTAAGGAAAAACAAACAGGTAAACAATAGGGAAAAGGGATGAGAAAATGATTGAGGACTGAAAAAAACAATGCAATAAAGGACTAAAAGATAAAATAATAGCATTACTTGTCACACAGATTGGTATGTTATCGTACTTGAAATGTTATGGATATGCAGATGCTGATTTATGAAACAGCTGACAAACACCTCACATTGCCCAGTGTTGTTGCCACAGTGTTCCCATTACTACAGGAAATTAAGTTTCATTTTGTCACTCAAATTCAGCGAATTTTATTCAAAATAGCTCAATTAAGTGGAAAGACCAATGTCAACTCATCTGCATCTTTAAGGTGTGAAAAGATCATTATTAAATTCTTATTAATAGAGCAGGTGTCTAACCAGTGCCATGGCTTCCGCGTGATCATCTGTATGCTCCCTGTACTGGCCCAGCATCCGGTCTACTTTGGTCAAGTTCCTACTGGTGTCCTGCCAGAAAAAAAGGAGTTTGTAATTAACAATTATTGAAATCAGTTTAGGAATCAATGCAAGCTATAACAACACATGTACATACAACATGTATTATAGGTGTAACGTTATATGGAAGCTGATGTACTGCTACTGTAAATTTATAAAATAGTGGTAGGTGGTGGAAGACTATAAGCTCACAACACTTGGGGGGTTGGGTAGGACTACAAAACACAGATGCTTGTTCAGTATTTGCAGCTGGATGAAATCTGAACAGATGCAGAGGTCTCTGTCTCATGAGGCAGGGCAGAGTACCTGTAAAGTGCTTGCCAGTGTGCTGATCTTCTCGGAGATGTCTGTTGCTCGACCATCACCTCCACTCCCACCGGCTCTGCCCATTTCCCGTCCAGGTCTGCGGTGGGCTTCACGACCCCGAGGCCGTTGCACCCTCCTCCTGTCGTATGAATCCGACTCACTGGATGTATCCATAGTTTGGGAAAGGGCAAGTGGAGGAGACGAAAAACGGCTGACTGGGCAAATCTGACGATTTGGCTTTGTCCGCGGAAAACGTTAACTGTTAACTACAACGTTAATCAGATTAACGAACAAACTGGGCGGTTTTTGAGCTTTCTTTACAATATATATCGTTCTCATAGCTAGCACAAATGGGCGACTTGTTACCATAACAACCAGTGAAGACAGAAAGCTATCTGACAAGCATAACACTACAATTCAAACTGTCCTCTTCCTAATAAATCACAGTGCCGGGCATTGTTGTTTTGAGTGATGCTTCCCCTGGTTAGCAACAAGTGGCGACTACTGTGAACGTTAGCTAGCTGACTCAACGTAAGCCAACTAATTTACCGCAAAAACTGCATAACACTGCAAATACCCAGCGGAGACAGCGAAAATAAATGCTACCATTACATTATGCGTTACAAAAGAGCCGTTGGTTTGTCGATTTGGAAGTGATAGCTAACAGAAGAACAACCCCCAGCTACACCGTGCTATGGCAACTTGAACTAGCCGCGTCTGAGCAGGAAAACAACGGACCACAGCGGCTCCAAAGGACGCCGGGAACTGTATGCTGCCGACGGTAGAGCTGTGTGGGGATGTTTATTTGTGAACTACATTGTCCGAAGGTAATGCGTTTGCGCCTGTGATGCCGCTCTTCAGTTAGAAAAGGAAAGAAAAGGAAAACTAAACTGTTAATAAGAAAAGAGAAGAAACACCTGAAATAAATTGTGAAAACAATATAGCCTACTAAATATAATAAAAATATATATTGACATGGATAGAATTATGTTAATCGACTATTAGTGCAACTTATATTTTACAAAATCAACTAGCTAAATATTGAGCATAAAATAGACATAGAAATATACTGCAATAGACAGTTTACCATAATTATTTATAGAACAAAATACAATATTACACGACTGGGGGAAAAAAAAAAAGAAAAAAATATTCTCGAGTCTAACACAAGAGTGCCTCAGAAGTCCACCCTCCCCTCAAGTTGAAGACCACCTCCAAACCTACCACAGAGCTGCAGCTGTCCGTCCTATACAGCATACCCACCTTCAAAACCTCACAGAAACTCCTGGGGCCCTGTAAAGACAACTGAGCATAACACTGCAGTGCAGCACCACTGAGGATTATACACCAGACACCAATACCATACTAGACAGCCTTACTTAAATTGATACATAGTATTTTAGTGTTGTGGTGGACATCAAGAGGACTATCAGGTGGAAAAATAGAAGTCAGTCTGGGGATATTTTGAAACGAGCAGCAGTCCAGCATGCAGGTGATAACATGTGCGTTGTTTACGCTCGTCACTCTCCCTATCAGCACCGTGTCGGAGGCTGACTCCTGCCCTGCTGTCTGCGAGTGCTCTGAGTGGAAGAGCCACACAATCTCCTGCTTTGACATTGATATTCTTCCCAGGTTTCCAGCAAGCACGGAGACACTGTAAGTAGGCGTACAAAACGCATCTGTGAAAGCGATTCTACTGTTTTTTTTTTCATGCATTTTGAATGTAAAGTGCTCTCAACCCCGAGGGAAAATCATTACAATATCATGAATATTCCTTCAAAGTGTTCCCACAGGGATTTTGAGGCTGTCTGTGATGTTAAGTAGTTATTCCATTTTCAGGTAGTTTTTTTCCCCCGTCTATTATAGTATTACTAACAAGCTATGTTCCAGTTGTCAGTGTGACTTGTATTCTTGATTTCATATATGGCCAATCTTGAAATTCATTTAGGAACACTAAACTAATAAATAATTGATAACTGGAAAATAGGTTTCAGTGACTGCAATGATTAATTAATTTATTAAAAAAGATAAACTGAACCACTAATCCACCATTATAAAAAATACTATACAATAAAGCACTTACATGTAACTTAATAGGTGATAAAGACAACATAAATGCCCCAAATATGATTTTCTTTGATTTGTGGTTGGTTCGGGTTTAGTTGTTTTGTTTTATTTGCCTGCATTAATTGTTCCTAAGTCTTGCCATTGTAGTCATACTATAGGTCTATTTAAGATATGAGGACAGATGGAGAGAGAGACAGTGACAGAGAAGAGGCTACCCAGAACACAGATGTCCAGTTCAGAGGATTTCACCGAACACTGCAGGGTATTAAAACATTAAATGGCTCTGCAGGTACACACTGCAGATATGCACTGTAGACATTGTTGAAAACAACGGTGGATGCTCCTTACTTGCTTAAAACTTACTGCCCACTACATCTAACTAGCCCTGCATTTTAGGAAATTATAGGAAACCAACAAGACTACCCTATACACTAGGCATACACACATCATGCCTACTTCCCTTTTCCATGAGCAAAAAGTCTTTCCTGTAAGAGTAATATAACAGTATTATTACTACCAGCTAATGACTGTTTTCCTGATTGATTTTCATTTGATTATTTTTTTGCTTGCCTGTTTTGTCCAAGAAACACCCCAAATCCAAAGATATTCCATTCACAGTAAAATAGCCAACAGTATATAGTGGAGAAAAGCAGCATGTTATATCCAAGGCCCTACATCTTATTTCACTCATGTGCTAACTAAACGATAAATCCAAGATAAAAAATTAAAAACCTTGTCAATGCCATTAGCATGTAGAAGAGGCTATTTTGTTATTGACTCCGTTAACAGTGGGCAATTAAACCAACAGAATTGTAAGAAATGGATGCAACCAACAGCTGATCTGTGTGCAATCGCTCATCTTGTTATCTGAGACCCCAAAGAATCTGGCAAGAGTCCTGGGAGCCGACATGATGTAATATGTCAGGGTCACCTCTGAAAAATGTAGTGGTGGCTTTTACACTTCCTAAATTGTAAAGTACAGGGTGAAAATTATGCAATAGAAAGCAACCAGTTTACCATGGCCTTGAGTGATGGAAACACATGCCCTTCAGAGGGACTCAGTGGCATGTGTGGAAACATAGACCTGGAAAAGCTAGAAAGGCTATTTCCATTGAAATCGCCATTCTTGAATTATAAATCAGATGGTACTGTTATATTGTATCAACTGAACTTTTGGTGACATTAAAATATTAAACACCGTTTTCCTATATGAATTGCCGTGAAATGACAGCCATGGCCCCTGAGCATAAACCATACTGATGTTGTTCCCCTGGCTTTTCCTCTACTGCCACCATGTGGTTGACATGTTTTGGTTTTGAGTGAACTGTCCTGACATCATCAGTTCAAAATTTCAGTTTGTCCAAAACGTTGGTTTATTTCCATCAGCCTCAGCTGCACTATGTGTTTAGGAGTTGTTAGCTAATGTAATGCATGCTAACATGCTAAACTAAGACGGTGAACATGGTAAATACTATTGCCTGCCTGCCTAACATCAGTGCTAAGGAGAAGGTTATGCTCTATGATAATCCTCATTCCTCCTTTACAGTTTAATGGAACATCTATCCATCCCAAACACCACTTTGCATCGCCTCCAACAGCACCCATCACATAAAATTATCTCCCGATCACTGCCCCAATTCACATGTGCACGTGCCCCGATGTCCCCGACTAATTTCTCACATTCCTGCCCTAAGTTTGCCCAGAGCTCTCCAGGAGGATAGAAAGACATAAAAGCATGCCACTAAACACTGGACTGACACCCCTCCTGATAAAAATATCTGGAAAATAAGACAGAAATAGACTTCGTATTGAGCTGGATGTTCTAGCAGATGAGGCGTGAGGAAGTTGGATTTCGTTGTACCCACATTGAGGAATGAATGACCCTGATGCCCTGGTCAGGCCAATCCAGGCCTACTGAGCCACTTACTCAGCTTACAAAGGTAGTGTGTCAATCGCTTCTGAAAAGTTCAACATTTTGGGAAATATTATCTGCTTTCTGAATTACGTGAAAAGGTTGATGCTGCTGTCAACTCTGTCTGTTAAATTTGAAGCTTCAGGTAGCAGCCAATTAGCTTAGTTTAGCACAAAGACTGAAAGCAAGGAGAGACAGTCCAGTACAAAACAAAAACTTTGAAAATGCCTCACCAACTTTCTGCACTAATTCTGTTATTAACATAAGAGTTTGGTTAAAAATTATTTTGTGGAGGAAAATGTGTAAAAGTTCGATTTACAAAACAAAATGTGAATGCAAAGCAGACGTCTGTGTGTGAGTGTGCATATGTGGATACTTAGAGTTTGGAGTCGTTGTGTGTGTGTGTGTGTGTGTGTGTGTGTGTGTGTGTGTGTGTGTGTGTACTTGTGGAGGTTACTCCATGTGTCACTGGGAGTCAGAGAGGTGGAAAGGAAAGCACAGACACGCTCTTAAAAGCCTGCGTAGCGTGACTCTTGACTGTGTCTGGACGATGCATTCAAATACAATATTTACCTTTTACAGCACATTTCTCAAACACCCAGAGAGTTCCATTTGAGAATAATTAAGAGGAAAAAAGACTTCAAGGGAAAGCGGGAAAAATGCAGTTCCAGTCTTTCAAAAACCTCTGAATTTTTGGACTCGAGTTTAAACGTGATAACTTGTGATGTTCGTAGTCCCTCGACCACTCATCTAATAAAAAATGTCTGATGAGTGAAATCCTAATGCTGTTTCGTGAATGGTAACAGATGAGCACTGGGATAACTTGTAATATAAGAAGTGGGACATTGAACATCATGAGCTGTAGCTGAGATGACTGGAAATACTGACTTTTTCCAAGCTATTAATTTGTACCAATGGATCGTGTAATGGAAATTGTTACTGTTACTTCACATTCTGCAATAATTAGCTCATATATTTATGAGAAAATAAATAGAAATGTAATCTTTTATAAAACCCAGAATAAAAATAATTTGAAAAAGATAAATAAATCATTTTGCACCACCACCTGTCCTAACCACTTTCCATTTTCCTTCTACATTGATAGCAAATGAATCAGAACATCGTAACAGAAAAATGCAGTTAAAAAGTAACTCTGCGGTGTGTAGTCAAGGATTCTGACTGACTGGGAGTTTACGCTGAATCACAATGGAGAAAGTGCAGGTTGAAATGTGCAGCGTGTAACAGCCCCTTAGACTCAACAGAACATTACTATAGAATATGACAGAGCCCATAGTAAACACCGCTTTGTTGTCAATCCAATGCTGACAATATTATAAATTACGTGGCTTCTCTCAACTTCAAACTCAATTCCCAACATGTTTGTTTTCTCAGGTTTTTATCCAAAATGACAAATTGGGGGAGTGATTTTCTCCTTAAGACTCTAAGATGTGCTCATTGGTCTTCTCCCCGCGCTGCTGGGGGAAAAGGCTTGCTGGTTATTTGTGTTTGAGTGCAGCAGCAAAACACAGCGGTTCTGACAGGAGTGTTTGGTGTCAGGGTCTGCTCTGTGTCCCTCTGTTTGTTTGAGTTTGTCAAAGCGTGTGGAGGGTGCTGTGCTCCCGTGTCTACTGACTGACTAACCCCCCACGCATGTGAGCGTGATTCAGACTCATGGGTCACATCTAAGCCTCTGAATTCTTCTATTGTTCCTCTGATGAACCAAACGTGCATGGAGATGGTGGCTTTGGCTGAGGAACTTTTTATACCTGTTTCCAAATGGATTCACACACTGTTGCCGTTTGAGACAGGATGCAGCGGAACAAACTCTGAATGTGCATCCTACTGCAGGGTGGCCGTGGAATAAAGCATGACACCAACACATGTGGCTACCATCTTAATTTCTTTCCTCTATTATTATGTTGTGATTCCCAAGTCTACAACAACAACATCTGCAGCAAGATCACAGGAATGAAATAGCAGATTTTCACTGGTAAAGGTAAAAGCGCCCACAATGTACTCTAAAAAGTCAGACATTGTGGGAGATTGCATATTTCAATCTGTTGAAGAGAGTTAGTTGATATGATCAATCACTCACATTTCTGCATACGGTACTAAATAAGAATCTATAGCCAGCAGCTTCATAAGCACAAAGACTGGAAACAGGGGCATACAGCTACCCTGGCTCTGTCCAAACGGAACAGAATCCATGTAACAGCACCGCTGAAGCTTACTAATTAACACATTATATCTTGTTTGGTAAATCAAGAACAAAAATGACAAATTCTTTTTGCAGCCGGCAGAGACTGAAGGAATGTACTGCTCAGACTGGCACATTACCCTTTGTAAAACCACAGCATGCTGTTACATGTTTTTGTAAAGTAAAAAACACCATACAACATGTTAATTAGTGAATTTAGAGGTGCTGGTTTTTACCTTAGACAGAGCCAAACTAACTGTTTCCCCTGCTTTTAGCCTTTATGCTAATGTAACGGTAGCCAGCTAGGCTGTGCAGAGAGGAGCCATCCACACATTTAAAACGAATACAGTCTCCATCCACACCTGCGTTTAAGCTGCGATCAGAGTTGATCTCTATATCGTCTATATTAAAACGAATGAAAACAGACATCTAGTGGCCGTTTACGTACACTGGACGTGCGCATGCCGGTTTAAACATGAATCAGATGGTCTCTCTCTTCTTTAGTTACAGAAGATTTGGTGAAAGAATAAAGTACTAAAGACGAAGAACCGCACCAAAATGCCAAATCAAAAACTATGTTAGTAGCACTGTGTTTCTGCTTTGCCTGACTTATGAAACCCAATCAGAGAGCCAGACTTGAGCGTCTGCATCATCGTTTCTAAAGGCTTCCGGTTTTGCCGGTCTGCACTAAAACGCTTTCTGGATTTTTAAAACAAAAAACTGGGTCAGCAGCGTTTTCAAACCTCTCTGTTTTAGGTCTTTGTTTTCGCCGTTTTTGTCTGGATGGGAAGTGCAAACGTAGCAAAAGGTCTCCCTTTTAAAACGAAAAGGCAGTAGTGTGGATGGGGCCTGAGTAAACCTCACTCCCCGACGCCGCTAGCGCCCGATGCCAGCGCCAATGGGTTTCAGCCTCCTCATTAGCACGTTCACCTCACACGCCCGAGGTTGCAAGTGTGAGTCTGAACTGTGCAGTACAACCTCTACACTACATTAAGCTAAGCTAACCATCTCCTGGCTAAAGCTTCTTATTTAGCCTATCGTACAGACATGAGAGTGATAATTTACATGTGTATTATCCAATGCCCCATCACCACCCCACGAGAGTAGTATTGATCTTGGGATCTAACACTTAAAGTAAAAAACACTGAAAAATGTCAAACTATTTGTTTTTGAAGTTCTTATACTTTGAAAAAAAATTTGAATTATCTCTTCATTTTACTCAGAAACTTAAATTAAACTAAAAGGTTTAAATGTAGGATTATAGAAAACATGGATAACATCCTAAATGATTTTCTTTGTCATAACTTAACCCTTGGTTTTACAGTGTAATTGTAACACTGGGTACTAATTTATCCTCAGCAATGTGGAGGTTATAGTCTGTGCATCTCACACGTAGGTCCTAACTTTCTGAAACATATGTCCTAAACAGACCCAGACATTGTTTGATTTGGCTGCCAGCACAGGTCCAGTCAGATCCAAGTCTTTGTTTTTTCCCATGTTCCTAGAATTGGGAGTCTTTTTCACCATTTGCTTCAAAGAAACCTTTCATTTGATTCTGAAATGTATCAGTGTTGGGCCTTTATCTATCTTTCCCTTTTCCCCCACCTGCACTCTGTCTCCTTCTCTCTTCTCCTTTAGATCTCTTCATGTCCAGTATTATTGGACTGAATTGTAAAGACAGCATTTTTTATATCCGGATTTTCTTATAACAGAATTACTTTCATTACAAAGAGAATCGTGAGCATTTCTACAATGCCATATTCAATTTTCTTGTACTCTGAAAGTTTCCAGATGCAAGATTTTAGCCTCGCTCATTCAAGAAATTGTCATTTTACAAGAAGTTATGTGGCAGACTTTTTCATGGCCAAGGCCAATTGCCAGACAACCAGGGGACACTCCAGCAAGTGCTCCAGACCAGGAAATAGTCTGGTACATTTCCCCTATGTAAAACCATCGCCTTTTCAGCTAAAACAAACACAAATTCATGTGCTAATTATCGAGGTGCTGCAAGGCAAATGCTGTTACCTTGGACTACCTGTTTCCAGTCTTTATGCTAAGCTAAGTGTGAGTGATCTTCTCATCTAACTCTTGGCAAGATAGCGAATAAGCGTGGTTCTCAGAATATCTAGCAATTCCTTTCAAAATGTCAAAGAACTGCTTGCTAATGACAAAAGGTCATGGAAGATGTTGAGAGTAAAATGTGTTTGCGACAACTAAAATGCCCTTCTTTATCTTTTAACCAGATGGCTTTTTGAGACCCGCCTTTCATCCGTGCCAGCAGATGCTTTTGCCAACATGGTCAACATCTCAAGGATGTGAGTAGGCAAGTTATTCAGTGGGATTTTTCCATTCAAGGCTTGGACACTTTTCATGAACTGCTATTCAAACACAAACCCTTCACAGTTGCTCTCATCCACCTGTTGTCTTTCAACCGTGTTGTTTAAAAAGTGGGAACATGTCCCAGTTCCAAACTGCCCACCTCTTTCATTTTTGTGTCCCACCCAAGCAGATGATATGCTCTCTGTTTAGTATCACTGCTGGCTCCCAATCACAGCTGGAAGCGCGAACACGTTCCTTCAATAGGAATGTTGCTCCTTCAACCACAGCGGGGATTGGACATTAGCTAGGTATTCCAGCAGAGCTTTTTGGGCGTGTGGTGATTTTAGACTCCCAAAAGAGGTGATTGTCTCCGTGTAGAGGCAAAATATACACTTGAGCCTTGATCCCCAGCCGCTGAGTCTGACGTCTGCGTCCAAGTCATGCGTGAAGAGAGACGGAGGTGGATGAGATGTTTTCTGTAAGCCTAGCCAGGAGTGCTCACAGCTTGTGTTTCCATTGACTTTGTTTGTTAACCAGAAAAAATTATAGACTTCATGACAGAAAACCAACAAAACGAGTCAAAAAACCAACAAAAAAGAGTCACATTCTTGAAAAGCTCTTTTATTAGTTTGTGAACATTGAGATGTGCTTTATTAAGTGCCTACTAAGTACATAAGAATTTATGTTATGTGTTTTTTTTCTAGTAAGTAAGTCATTCTTAAGGTTGATTGAGTTTATTTAAAGAGCATACTTGTTACCAAGTAATAACAAATGGGAGCAGAGTGACTGATGACTGGGTAATGTATATGTGAGGTGCATACCTGTAAAATTACCCATGACTTTGGAGGCTCTAGACAAGGTGGGTTGATAAATTCAGGAAAGACTTGCAGGGTTTAGGATAATTTTTAGAGCCACACACTCAAACACATTTATGAAAACATGTCTTATATTTCGCTTGCCTGCTGGTACAGTACCTTCATTCTTACATGTCAAACAGATGGTTAAAAAAGGTAATTATTTTGATATTACAAAGACAATTTGTACATTAGATTGGTTAAAGCTTTATGTGTTTCTTTTAGATATATATCGGTGGATATGACGCTGCAGAGGCTGGAGAAGCACTCGTTCTACAGCCTGAGGAAAATCACCCACATGTGAGTAACTAAAGCAAAAGGGCATGCTTCTTTATTGATCTTTATTGATTAAGCTGTTCCATTTGCTCTCTGGAGAGAATAATGCTTAATTTTAAAACCTTGCCGGGAGCAAATGGAAGCAAGGAAGAAACACATTAGAAGCATATTTCTCTCCTACACACCACTTACTGCTCCTCATCAGGGTGCTACAGAGCAGTTTTGCCTCACTGGCAGTTATCCTGTTGAGGGATTACTACATGTAAATTAGATGAGAAACAATTCCATTTGATGAAACTACTCATGATCTGGACCATTATTCCCGAGCCTGGTCTAAACAGAATAAGCATGTTAGAGCAGAGAGGCCGAACATCAGCCAGTATTTGGCGTTTCTCCATGTCTTCTGCATGCTCCAGCTCTTGCTGAAGCTGCTCAGGGGGAAAAGTCTAGCAAGGTGCACTCTATTCTCAATTATGGGATAGAGATTTATGGCTGAGTCTCCGGGTGGACCACACACTTTCTAGAAGAACACCTCCTAGCACTTTATGTATTACTGCAAGATTTCCTGCCTATGTGAATGATTTGTTCCAAGTTACAGCATCCTGTAACACAGCAGTTTGTGTGTACGCAATTTGTTTCCACTCTTCAATTACTGTATAAATTGTGGGCATGTGTAGCCGTTCGAGACAGTAACTATAATTAACAGCTACAGTACTGGAATTCATTTCACATGAATTGATGCACGTGTGCGTATCATTTGGCTGTCATTTTTTAATCTTAATTATCCTTGGTTGTAGTCGTTCCTTGTTAGCTGCCAAATTCCAGACATCAAAATACAGACAGAAACAATAATTCAACCCGCTAGCTGAGGGTTGTATCGGTGTTCTGGTGGTGTATTTTGGATCTCCGGGGCCTATTTGCCACTGATTGGTGTGGTGGAGTGCCATACATCAGATAATAGCATCTCTCAGGTTTCCTTCAGGGTCAGACACAAATTAATGCTCTGCTTCCTGTTGGCTGCTTGAGGCCGACAGCAGCTGTGGGGATCCAGGGCTACAGCCGGGGCTGAGAATTCAGAGGGGGCTGGGTGAAGTTTGTATCATGCCACTATCGAGCGAAATCACTAGTTTCAAAAATTCTTGTTTTTTTACTGGAAAGCTGATAATTGTTTATATAGATAAACCTCAGTTTTGGTAATCTATTGGCAAATGATACAGTGCAATGATGATCAAACTATACATACACACAGTTCATGAAAACTACATTCACTGTCATTTGTGGGAAAAGCAACTGGCACAAAGGAAAGTATGTCTTGCAGCAGCACCAACAGCAGTTAGCATGTGCAGGAAATTAATTGGGTGTTAAAGCTACAATAATCAATATTTTTATATTAACCTTGGGTCATAGTCTAATGTGTAAATGTGAAAGGACTCTTCAGTGACAAATGATTAAAAGACTCTGCAGTTTCCCTCAGCTCAGTGGAATATAACATTTTTAAGCTGACCTTAATAATCTTTATTTCTTTTCCAGTCACAGAAGGTTACTGTTTTCTGAAAAAAAGCTTGATAAACACCCTGTACACTATACCTGCTCAACAGATGACAGACAAAGTTAGCCACTAGTTAGTGAATACAGTGAAGCATTTAGCAGCTACAGAGATAGATTTTCCTCAAGAGTTGGTGGAGACCAAAACAGAGTTAAAAGAAGAGAGAATATTGGACTTACATTTACCTGGTATCCAGAAACATGACTCTAAATGAATGTGAATGCTACCTTGCTGGATGCCTAAACTGGCAACAGTTTTCCAAACATTAACAATTTTATATGGTGATAATGTGCCATTGTTGATTTTACAGCTTGTCCATCTGCCCCAAACGGGCCAAAAAAAACAAAAAACAATAAATGCTGCTTTAATATGACCTCATGGATATAATGTAGAAATGATGACGACGTAAACACTGACAAAACAGTAGAAGAGACTCTTCATATGCAAAAGGACACATTTTTATTCATATATCAGCTGTGACAATGTGTGAAAAAATGTGTGAAAATCAAATAGAAGAGAATGTTTTGGTGCTAAGAGCATCATTGGCACTATTAAACGGTTTATAATCAATATCAGTCTTTTCTTTCACATTTTTCACTTTGTCTTCCTTTGACATATGAAATGAATTGATTCTTTTTTTGCATTTGAACAGCCTCTTCTACCTTTTTTGTGCAGGGAAGGACATTTTCCTGTGTGATGATGGTACTGTTTGCCTTGGCTACATGAACCTGATTCTACTTTAGGCTGGATTCAAGAGCGCAAACCTTTTCAGATTGCTTAGTTAACATGACCAGCCAAAGTCACCATGAAAGACCGAAGAAAGAAAAGAACACCCACTGAAACGCAAACATCATCAACAGAAAATCTAAGTAAAAGGAAATCAGATTCCCAACCGCACTGATTGACTGACCTTCTGGAGTTCAAAGAGTTGTGACAAAGATTCACCACACCTCCTTGGCTCAACCAACTCAGGTGCTGCCCCTTAGGAGTTGTATAGTATGCTGGACAGACAATGTAATGATTATATTAGCTGATAAAACTCCCCTCCAATGTTTCAGTGTAGCTCTAGTCTTTATACTGGGGAGATGAACATCTCCCACTCAGAGACTTCCATTGACCTGACCACGTCTGTCTGCTGGGCTGAGTGTGGTTTACCAGGTGTGTGAAGAAGGGCCAGGGCACACGTTCCAGGGCACCACATGGCTTCAGACAGCAGAGAAAGGTGTTCAGTCCAGCCCAGGGCGGACCAGAGTAAACACACTAATGAAACACTAATTGGACTCTACTTCCGGCCCTGGCTGTCTGCACCGAGTTTCCCTTCTCTTGCACACTGGCATGCACCTTGTCCTGTTCTGTCAGCAGGTTTTAAGTCTGTCTGTTGTCTTGTCTTTTCTTTCAGAGAGATACGTAATGCAAAAAGTCTGACCTACATTGACCCAGAAGCGTTTAAAAATCTCACAAACCTCAAATACTTGTGAGTATTTTCCATTGCATGTTATTTTTCTGAAAAAAAACAAAAACAAAAAAAAACAATTTTTGTCATTAAATACCACCTATTGACAACATTATGAGAATCCAAAAAGAAGAGGGGTGCATATTTAAAGTGCTTAAGTCTGGCAATAATTTAGGCATTGTGATCTATTCAGAGGATTGTGTGTATATCCGTATGGGCAAGACTGAGCCATGCTTCATTTGAGTTTAATGCAATGGTACAGGTCAACTTCAGAAAGGTGACTGCAGACACTGGTCATTATAGAAGAAGTTCAACTTATTTGGCCTGAGAATGAAATATGTCAGTGTTATTTAAATTAAGTATAGGTTGTTTCCTTTAGCAGGACAAAACTGGCTTGTTACTAGACAAATAGAAATTTTTATTAAATTATGTTGTCTAATAAACTCTTTAGGACTTCTTTTGTAATAGCAATGCTCATTATAATTTTGCATTGCACTGTTGTCTGATGTAATCCCACAGAGGATTAATTATAAGAAAATCATATACCATTTTTCAAAACATCTTTAAGGGAGCTTTTGTAGTCTCTGTTGTATCTCCTGTATGTCCTAACTATTTCTTACCTCTTGCTATTCAGAGGAATTTTCAACACTGGCCTAACATACTTCCCTGACTTGAGAAACATCCACTCTAATGACATGAACTTCATACTGTAAGTTGCTATAACTTTACATATTTGAAACTGAGCACACTCATTAATATTTATGCCTGCTAAAACTGCTACTTTAACATCAGCAATTCGTTGCCACATTAATTCAGAGCCATTACTCTAACTATCAAAAACCAACAAGACTGTCAGCAAGATGATTAGCCATTATCAGCTTTTTTTAATACACTATATTATATTCTGTAAGTAACAGAAAGATGGATGGGTTCTTCCACTGCAAAGAGAGCTTTTAGGTTTTCATACTTTTCTTTTTCTTTTCCACTTACATGTTTATCCTCCTCTGTATACCATGTAAGAAGCAAGTAGCAAAATTTTTGTTTGGAACATAGTATTGTAGGGATTATGGGAAACGTGGTCTCGATTTTGAGAAATACAACCACTAACAAGACCATTTCCCTTCATACATCTGTGTGTGTTATTGATAGAGAAAAAGTAAAATAAGCATAGTTTGTACTTTCTGTGTGTGTGTGTGTGTGTGTGTGTGTGTGTGTGTGTGTGTGTGTGTGTGTGCTTGTGGGTGCATCTTTGTTTTTGATTCAATAACTGAAATGACTTTCCATGTATAACCCACTAAATGAAATGAGCCACATGTACACACATATCTTCGTGTCATCACACTCTCAACTCTATCTTATTTAATTTTCCCACTGAGCCATAATACATGCATCAGCCTCATCCCTCCCTATACCACGTTCCAGTGAAAGGTATTTATTTACTACACCACTTCATTTCCTCTCTATTCGGCATCTTCCTTTGCAGGGAAATTGTTGATCATCCTCACATCACTGAGATCCCGGCCAACTCTTTCCATGGCATCACCAGCGATGTGCTGACAGTGTAAGATATCAGTAAGAGCAACCACATGCATGCACACGTGCAGATACGCACATGCAATGTACAAAAAAGTAACGGCCACACCTATTGTAATTACATGTATATTTGTATCATGCATTTTTTCACAAACTAGATAGAAACTATATTACACTTCTACAACTGTAATACATAGTCCGTGCCAGCTTTGTCCTTTATCGCTAAATCCAATCCAAACCCAATATAGCCACTAGAAGAAGTGGGGATTGTTGCCAAAATTACCTCACTTTATAAACATGTCCTCACCCTGAACTCACTTGAATCTCACAAACATAGCAAAAACAAGTACACAGACACTCACACACGACAGGCAATCATGTGTATGTGGTTAGGTTTGAGAGCAAGCGAAGTGGGTTAGCAATTTTAATCTACAAAACAGCGTGTAAGAGAAAATGTTTTGCTAAAAACCTCAAAATTGCACAGACAGATTAAACCTCACCATAGAATGTGAAATAAGTAGGTCCTACTTATCTCTGTCAATGCTGCGCAGAAACGTATAAAGCTGTTGTTACTTTTAAAGTTCTTCTTTTGTTTCAGGATGCTGTATGGGAATGGCTTCAGAGAAATCCAACATCACGCCTTTAATGGGACCAAGCTAGATCAGGTGTAGGTATTGTTATGAGAATTGCTTAAACACCTTGTTTAATTAATTTCATACCTATTTTAGGAATAGTTTGACATTTTGGAAATATGTTTATTCACTTTTTTGCTGAGAATTAGATGAGACGATAGAAACCACTCTAATATATGAATGGTAAATATGAAGCTAATGTCTGAAAGGTATATGAAGCTAAATAGAAAGTCTGAATGGCAAATATGAAATATGAAACAGCCAGTAGCCATTAAAAAATTGTTCAGAAGTTTGAGACACATAATCAGAGCAGTGTTATAGTGTTGTTACTTGTGTATTAGGTTCAAGGGTTATTAATTATTCACTTGATAAGCTTTCATTGTTTGATCTTTCACTGGGGCACCAGAATAAGTTGAATTTGTAGGTCTTACATTTCTCGAAATTTGGTTGCTCACTATTTTGCCTGGATTAAATCATTTCTGACATCTGGCATGTGTATTTCCTTACCCAAAATTGGACTACAAAAGCACTGGGATCACAGTTTGGTCTCTACAGACCTTCTCATATATACTCAAAAACGGCCTAAGCCCAGCTCTTGATTAGTAAACTGGAGTTCTCATGGGAAAATGTGTGTCCAAAAGAGGGTATCAGGAAGTCTGCATTGGACCCTACATCTGTGTCATACTTAGAAGAAATCAATTTCATAATTGTATATTCAATAGCTTCAGTAGGATAAATTATGAAAGAATGGGTAAGCATTGCTTCCTTTTCCTCTTTTGTCGCAACATGTTTTCTTTCTTCTTGTCACCCCCTGGACCAGAATCCTGCATATTCAGGATATGAGGTATTAATTAAATTAATTTTAGACCCCATCTCTTCTTTTACAACACCTACACACATCCCAGGTCCTTATAAGAGACTAATTAAGCCATTGGTCGGTGACCAGTGAGTCTTTGCTCATGGGTGTTTGTGTTGGCGCCTGATCTGCTCTGAGAGGAGATCTGATCCCAGCACAGCCTGACCAAGACAAACACAACCCGCACAGGTCTATTATCCTTATTAGATTTAAGGGATTCAGGGAGATGTGTAGTGAGGGTGCAGTGTGTTTAAGGAGTATGCCATCACATCTTATACTGTATAATTTGAATCAGCAATGTGAGTGAGACCTTTTTCTGTCGTGTTTCACCCCTCACATGAGAGAAAATAAACGAGTGCAGTGATGAGGCTTGGGAAAAGATTATGCCATGCCTCCCCTCTGTCCGTCTGATTGAAATGTGAGGGATAACTTTTCTCTTAATAAACTTCACTTTGTGCTTTCCTGTCCAGCGACCTTCACAGGAACAGGGATCTTACCAAGATGGATGAAAGGGCTTTCGCGGGCACCATCAGTGGCCCCATGCTGCTGTAAGTACTTGAAGGGTTGAAAATTGAAGCCACTCTTATTAACTGTTGGTAATTACACGCAATTCTTACCAAACATACAGAACCTTTAAATCTTGGACTTAATCATCTCCAAGATGTGAGCCACTGTATTTTAAACTCAAAGCCTAATATGTTGTCTAAATAATAATTAAATTGATACTTTTAATAAATTGTATCTTGGTGGAATATGGTTTTGGTTACACATATTACTTGTATTTGCAACCTGTAGTCTACATTAAAGCTAAACACTTGTATATACTGCTACTGCTACAGCCTTATTTGGTCTGTTATTAACGTTAGCTAAGCATAGCTAATGTTAGCTAATGTTAGCAGACATAAACATAGATATTTTTCAACTTATATTACTGCGTCAGTTTGCTGACAATACAACTCTGTTTGTGCTACAGTTGCACAGTATTTTAGTATATACTGTGATACATTAATTTACTCTTGGCACTGGTTACATGGTCTCACTAAAGTAATAGTTTGACATTTTGGGAAATACGCTTGCTTATTCACCTTTTTTGCTTAGAGTTAGGTTAAAGATCAGTACCAACTTTTGTACAAATTACACTAGACTTAACAAGTCTAGTGAGCTTTACAGGTGCTGGTTAGCGGATTTTGTTACCTTTGGAGAGAGCCAGGCTAATTATTTCAAGCTGTTTCCAGTCTTTTTGCTAAGCTAAGCTAACAGGCTTTGTGCTGTAGCTTCATATTTACTGTATTGAAATGAGAATGGCATTGATCTTCTTATCTAAATGTCGGCATGAAAGCAAAGTATTACAGTTTCAATTATATATTTCAAATTTACATAAACCATCTTGAAAGCATATATATCAATAAATAATAGGCCTAGTTTGATATTTTCATCATTCAAACCATGTCAAGTGAGATTTCAACAATTTCCTCTTCATTATGTGCAGACTGGATGAGACATGTCTGTGAAACGGGATAGCATATCATCAAAGAGTAAAAATCATTCCTCCACAGCTGTGTCTTTGACCAGGAAATCTGAAACGCATTGTGTGCAAGCCTGTGAGGGAGAAACTTCCGACGCTTCTCTGATACTGTCGTCTTTTTTTGCCGTTCTCAAGGTTTTTAAAGGTGTGTGATGCCAAAACCCTTTACCACGGCGATCTAGTTGCTGTTATGGCTCTAATCTAGCCATTAAGTGTCTGGTTAGGTAAATGGGGTTCGTGTGCAGGTCTGCTTCGTCTGTTCCACTGAGGAACATGTCCTGAGTGAGGTCACCTCCATGAGGTCATGAGCTAAACATCTGGGAATGACAAAATCAGGCTGACACTCATAGAGTCTGTGCTGCTTTTTTTTTTTTACAGCCTTACACAATGTGCCCCATGAGACGAAAAAATAGCAGAGGACAGAGAAATGCGGAGAGCAAATGGGACTAAAAAAGAACAATTGAGCTCTTAGCAAACATGGAATTGCTTGGCTTATGTTTCTTTTATTTAATAAAATGAATCAGCAAACACAATGACATAGAAGTTTAATGGGTTAGGAAACTAAAGAAAGAAAAATAGAACTTGGCCTCTACTTGGCCCCTGGAAGAGGGAAGTGTCCTGCTGAACAGCGGAATGTCCTGATAATGGGATCACACAGGATGTTGGTGAGATTGTCAATCCCTTGCATGTCTTTGTCCCAATGAGGTTGAGCTGGCTTTTGCATTAAAGCCGAACGAAAGAAATACCACATGTAATAGTTTAAAGATGATGGAGTGAGGAGCTCACTCTACGAAACAGATGGAGGGTGTTGTTTAATCCATCTCTGAGCTCTCTGGTCTTATCATGTCTAGCTTGTCTGTAGATTTGCTGATAGGATGTTTTTTCTGGAGTTTTGAAAGGTGCTGGGTGGTTCAGTTAGTCAAATGAAAGTATAGTACTCAGTATTATTTATTAGCATCCAGTAAGTGCATTCATACAGGATGTAAGTGTGCATGTTATCAACCATATCAGAGATGTAGCTTAGACCCATTTGTGATCACTCTGGGATTTGGTCACTTCAATTCCCTACATACTGTAAACCTTAGGGGGCAAAGTCCAAACATTTGAAGGTATTCTCATGATCTCACAGATGTCTTCTGTCTCTCCGGAAAGATAGAATATTTGCCAGGTGTGATTGAGTCACAGAGTAACATATGGAGTGCTATAGTAATAAATCGGGCTAGGATGTAGCCAAGAATTATTAGGCCATGCATTGGAGGTAGCTCCAGCGTCACCTCCACTTTCCTTCACTACTCTACCATTATTAGAGCCAAAAACTAAAATATATGTACATAATGCATCGTCTTCTTAAATTCTTTCTTTCCTTTTCTACCTTATAGAGATGTGTCTCTAACAGGGATCAACTCCCTGCCGACCACAGGTATGGGTTCTCTCCGGGAGTTGAAGGCGCGCAATGCCTGGGCCCTCAAGAAACTGCCGGCCATCAAAACCTTCAAACACCTCACCATTGCCAACCTCACCTACCCCAGTCACTGCTGCGGCTTCAAAAACCTCAAGAAGAAACGAGGGTGAGCTTTTGTCAATTCTTCATATTGTATTCGTCGAACATACTCATGAGAGTCAGAAAGGTCAAGTGGAGTCATCACAACAAGTGTCTCCATATTGTACAAAAGTCAAACCATGTCCAACAGAATGCTCTTGTAGTCTTTTTTTTCATTTATTTGGATGATTTACCACAGTGAGTGGAGCAGCTGCACTTGTATGGTGTGGATTTTGGCATGGATTGAATCAACTCTCTGACGTGTTTACCTATAACTTCTTAAAGCGCTGCCATAATTAGTGTCACTCATTGCTGTTATTGTAGGAAGAAGGTTGAGCCTGACTAATGATGACTCTCAAAACAGGAATCACTTTTCTTCAAGTAGATATAGAGAGGATTGAAGCCAGGTCTATATTTTATGTGTCTAATTAAAGACTACAGTATTATTTAATGGATTCAATCTCATGTGTGTGTTTTTCAGCTTTTTGGAGTATATCATCTGTAACCTGACTGCTTTCTACGACCAGCATCACAAGCGTTCTGTGGGGCCCCTCCGCATGCCGTCCCTCCAAGGGGAAAGTGTGGCGGAAACAATCCCAGACGAGGAGCCAAACGATGGCCACCGAGAGAGAGAGTCCCAGCAAGACTGGTGGAGAGGTGACTTCCATGGCAGCCTGCACTACCACGCCTACTTCGGGGGCCAGCCAGATGAGGATGTGGGTTTCGGAGAGACCCTCAAAAACCCCCAGGAGGACACCAGCCAAGACTTTGACAGTCGTTACGATTATGTGGTGTGTGAGGAGGGAGAGGAGGTTGAGTGTGCACCAGTGCCTGATGAGTTCAATCCTTGTGAGGACATAATGGGTTTTGGCTTCCTGCGAGTGTCTGTGTGGTTTGTAAGTCTGCTGGCTGTTCTGGGAAACGTGATGGTGCTCCTGGTGCTGCTCACCAGCCACTACAAGCTCTCGGTCTCCCGCTTCCTCATGTGTCACCTGGCCTTTGCAGATTTGTGCATGGGAATTTATCTGCTGCTTATCGCCTCTGTAGACCTGCACACACAAGCCGAGTACTTCAACCACGCCATAGACTGGCAGACGGGCCCTGGCTGTGGACTTGCAGGTTTTTTTTCTGTCTTTGCAAGCGAGCTGTCTGTCTACACCTTGACGGTGATCACTCTGGAGAGGTGGTATGCTATCACCTTTGCTATGCGGCTGGATCGTAAGCTGCATCTGCACCACGCGGCAGCCGTGATGCTAGGTGGCTGGGTCTTCTGCCTGCTCCTGGCCCTGCTCCCACTGGTTGGGGTGAGCAGTTACCAGAAGGTCAGTATCTGTCTACCAATGGACACCCAGTCCACAGTGGCTCAGGTCTACATCTTGTCAGTGCTGGTCCTTAACATCCTGGCCTTTCTTGTTATCTGTGCTTGCTACTTCAAGATCTACTGCGCAGTGCATAACCCTCACTACCGCTCTGGATCCAAGGATACCAACATCGCCAAGCGCATGGCTGTCCTCATCTTTACTGACTTCTTGTGTATGGCGCCTATCTCTTTCTACGCCATGTCAGCTGTGCTGAACCGGCCACTCATCACTGTCTCCAACTCCAAGATTTTACTGGTGCTCTTCTACCCGCTCAATTCCTGTGCCAACCCGTTTCTCTATGCCATCTTCACTAAGGCCTTCAGGGGTGACATATTCATCCTCCTCAGTAAGGTGGGCCTATGTCAGCAGCGAGCACAGCTGTTCAGAGGCCAGACGGTCTCATCAAAGGGCAGCAGCGGTACATCTCAGGTCCGTAGAGACAAGGATAAGTTTAGAAAAGGTGGAAGCGGAGGCCAGGAAGAGGTGCCCATCCATCTGAAGAAGTGCTCTGGACATACCTATCACCAAGCAGTCTGCCAGCAGACAAGCCCTGAAGAGAGCCAGAGCCCGAACACGTGAGCCTAACACCCAGCTCGAGGTAGTAAAGCAAGACAGGTTCAGGTGGGAGTGTTTGTGGACAGTTCTGTTTGGATATTTAACAGAAAGCTTCAGTATTCTGTATCTGCTTCAATTTTCAGGCCAAGTTCAGCTGTTTTCACAATTTCGGCTGTGATGATTTTACGGTTCCAGTTGTTGGAGAATATCAAGTGTCACTGAAATATGAGCCCGACTTCATCTCACTTATAGTCCTTTGTATTTGGAGGGACTAGCTAGAATAAAATGGATATTATTTTATAGTAGTAAGGATTAAAAACTCATACATAACTATGAATAAAATGCATTTTTTTCAATATCTTTAATTATATATTGAATTTTATTTCAAATTATATCTAGATATTTTGGCATTGATATACAAAGAAATATAACAGACGTAATTCATTTTCCTGTGAAAAGAAGACCTTTCTGAAATGCCCTGTTTATACTCAGTTATTGTGTTCAAGAACAGCCTGCTGGCTCAGTGCCGTTCACAGTGGAAACTTATCCAGTTTACAAAAATATAAAAACACTGCATTTCTTATTGTCTTATCAATACCTCTGTCTGTAGTATAAATACACAACAGTGTTTGGTGATTTATGGATGAAAACTGGACACATTGCTTGTGATTTCTTTGGAATTCTTTTGTCTGTTTAGCTGGAACTGAAAAGTAAATATGGACAGGTATAGCATAGGACATTACTGTGATACTGGAAAGCAGACATGAGTGTTTGTACAGTTCAAATTGTACTTGTAAGTGTCTAATACACAAAATTGATGTATCACTTCCTTAGATTCATAAAAATATTTATAACGTTTTTACTTTTGTTCTTTTTAATGTAACAAAATAGTGTTACCTTTACTTTTTTTCATCTTGATCTTGCAAAACAGTTTACAGAGGAACTCCTCATCTCCTGATAGCATGTGATCCAATAACAAAAGTAAACACAAGATATATTTTGATTATTAGCAATTTTCTGCAAATTACAGATAGGTATGATAATCACAAATATATACTGTTAAAGTCTTGTCTCTCCATTGGAATGTCGTGGTTGTTTTTCTAGCACGAACGTGATATTTTTCCATCCTCGTACGGAAACAAGTGACTTATGCAATCAGCAGAGATAGCTTTGCCTTCGCCGGGAGAGCTTAAAGCAAATACAGCTGAGACACGTGTGAGCTGCAGTGCTGTAACTTGTGCGATATTGAGCCATTATGAGTTAAAAGGACACCCTCTGCCAATGGCAGCTTAACATCTGGTTAGCATTTCATCTGCTGGGTGACATTTTTTCAAGGAAATATACATATGAACAGGGGGGACTTTCCAGGAAAGAGGGATCATTTTAGACCTTTTTTAATTTTGTTTGCAAAGTCGTCGTGAAGATATTTGACCAGACTGCTGGACAGTTTGTTTCAGTACAAAAAATATAGTGCAACATTCCCAACTCTATATTACTCTAATGCATTAGCGAAGCATCAGTGAGTTTGAAATGGCTGAAACCTCAAAGCTGGAAGGATTTCTAGTTTTAACATAAAAAAAATGAAGAGTGGCATGTGCTTTCTGTGTTCCAGACTTGACTCAGGCTGTAAATTCCTAACAGACTAACAGGGCATCATTTTCTGTTGAATGTTTTCCACAGCTTCAGTGTCCATCGCTTCCAATCACCCATTAACAACAATCCAGTGTGGACCCTTCAAATGCTAAGCACACAGAGCTGGAGCATGATGTGCCTGGCTGCGTTTGTGAGTGCCTCCTCCCTTCCACTGCCAGTTAATGTTAACTCACAGTTCATACTTGTTTCATGAAAGTGTGCATGTCAAGGTTGATAAAAATCAAAATTGCTGCACAAAATTGCGTGGGTGACTGGGTGAACACGAAGAGACTGGCGCTGGTGACACATACCAGCAGAGCCCTTTGAAACTACACCTTTTGTTTTCTCAGCGCCATCAGGATTATCATAGAAAAATTGTGGGTTGTGAGCCTGTAGGTTCACAACCAAAGCAATAGACAGAAAGGACCGAACGAACCCATAGAGACTGGGATGGATTTATTTTAACATTCTTCATGTAGCTGGTTCTCAGGCCTGCCTGATCATTCCTCTTCCAGTATGTCAAATAAACCTATCTCTGAGCCGTTCCTCAAATAAGCAGGGCAGGACCCGATGATGCACCTCGCTAACACCAGATTAGGTTGCTAAACTCAAATACAGTGGGAAGGGAGTCATGAGAAGGGCTGAACAGAGAAACTAAGGTATCTGTCAGGAGATTTAGAATAGGAGGTCTTCAAGTATCCATCAAGCTCTTGTTCCTGGGAACATCAAATCCCTGCATTTATGAGACGTCATCCCTTACGTTATTCCATGGACCAGTAGACATGGACGATCCTCTTGAAGGGTCAAGTTCCTCTCTCTCAGAGAACACTCTCGAGTGACTACTAGACTGAACCACCAAGCTTAAATGAAAACATTTGCCTCTGTGTCATTTTAAGCATAAAAATTTAGGACAAGAGTTTTGCGTTTTCAACTGTCACCAAACATTTCACCATGACATGCAGTTGATCCGTGAATGATCTACACCCATACTGGACAATAAGAATCCCACTCTGTGTCTTACCTATTTGTGTGGATGTCTTGGCCATTACAAACTCATTTGCATTGCCCAGTGGAGTGCATGCCGTGTGACCACAATGACTAAATCAGAATGGCATATTGTTCAATGGTCACAAGAGGAAAACCTGGCAAAAGGCCTTTGTCAACAACTAAAGTATTTCAATTATTTAAGTGTGTCAACTTTGGCAGTTGCAATTGGTGGTGAATGGGGCCAATTACGTGTGCACTGATCCTTGCAAATGGCCTGTTCTTGCTACAACTTCATTTTTCCAAGATCTCTTTATAGATACTAAAATGTGCCGGGGCCTTAAGCAACTGAGGTGCACTAAATGTGCAGACTGGCATACTTTGCAAATGTTCTCTTTTTCCAAAGTTGATGGTCATATTCAGCCTTCTGCGCATCATCAAGGACGTGTGACCGATCAGCAGAGGTATGGACTCAAATCACACAGCTTGGACTTGATTTAGACTCTTGAATCCAATGACTAACGATTTGACGTGTCATCCAAACATGTCTAAAGGCAAAAGTGATTATAGATGTTCCGAACGACCACACTCGAAGGCGGGACACACAATCATCGTTGAACTCAAATGTTAACCAGGGATATCTATGAGCACTTTCCTTTAAAGGTATTCATGGTGTTGCACTAATTTGTTCATACAAAAAGTGACAGAGGTCACAGTGTGAAGAATGAAAAAATGAGAGATGTTCAAACCCTGCTTGTCTGATTTCATAAAGGGGATGGAGGAGTGCATCATCACAACATCAAACATCAAACAAGCACTTCATTTTGATCCTACTGCCACCTTTAGACATGACAAAATCAAAAAAGACTTGACTTTAATGAGAACACAGTGTTCTTCAGGTGTTACTAATAACATTAAGGATGCCTGTGTTCCATTCATGTGTCCCATTAAGTCATGACAGTGTGACAGTAGGCAAGCATGCACAATACCAGGACCCTGAAACTGAAGCAACTACATGAAATTCAGCCATCATTCATTTTATTATTTACACATGATTTTCCTCCTGTGAGATGTGTGGAAAGGTGTGTTTGGCAATGCTCACCAGCAGACAGGCAAATGATGTCTTGATTTAGGACTCAAGAGTTGAGATTTCCTTGTGACTTTTAAAATAACTTTTTCCCACCTCTGCCTATTGAATGCACTAGATTCAATATGGGGCACTATAAAAGGGATGAGACAATGGAGGAAAACCAGGAAAGGAGGAATCATTAGAAATGGATAGAGGCTCTTTGTCCCAAGGGGCTTGACATTTTCTGAAACTATGGTAAACTCAACATGCCACACAGCCAACAGGCCTGGCCACTACATTCCACTGAAGTCTACAAACGCTATTTTGCCATGCGGCTGATTGGCAGTCACCGTCTGTTAGCTGGTAAGCAGAGAAAGCTATAGAGTCTAAGCTAGACATCTCCAGGGCCTCATTATAAGCCCCATTCACCAGCAGCTCAGACTCTTATGTCTGAGTGCCCAGGAGTAGCAACAGGGCCCACTCCATAAGAAGGAGCCAGGGATACATTCTTCCTCCACTAGGTCTGTTCAGGGCTGAATAACTCTTTGTGATGTGTGATATATTATAGAAGTGACAGCCTGCCTCAAATCCATTTACAATCAAGGGTAAAAATCTCCATGTAGTTTCTGATTTGGCTCTAATCCCAGATAGCACCACACCTTTATCTCATAATTACCCACAAGGAAATACACAGGGATTGTATCAGTTTAGGTAGGAATTAGAGGAAAGGCAGGGAGAACGCCCATGCCGTGCATACCCTGACAGCTATCCAGACGCTGGATTATGCAGCTAGAAAAGTGGAATTGAAGTCAGGCTGGAGCTGATTCTGGGTCTCACACGTCCATGTCGCATCAGATGTAGTACCCCAGGGGTTTCTTCTGCAGTTGCCAGCATATGTGGAAAGATTAGATCAGCTGATTAAAAAAACAGAAAACAAGATTCAGTGTATACCCATATTGACTCAGCAATAACACATTAAGTAAATGATCATTTAAAAAACTAGTTAGCAAGTGAACATAAGGTCTAAACAGTACAGCTAAGGGAACTGTTAAATGGTTTGAATAAGTAGTTGTAAGTAATGGATAAACAGTTGAAATACACATAAATAAGGGGACACATAATCATCACAGTATAACTTCAAGTCAATTAAACTTCAATATCAATCTTTCCAGTTAGCAAACATAAGCAATTGTGAGTAAATGGCACCTGTTTTGGTGCAAATATAAGTGACTACAGGTGCACTGGGGAAGCAACAAAAAGGTAATGGTTTTACAGGTGGCGGCCACAGACAATTGCTCTCTCCTTACCCTCCCTTCCTGATTGTTCTCTAGTTTTGAGTTTTGCTAGTGCCCTTGTCACTACTAGTAGCATACAGTAAATATGTATGATACCAGAAGAGGGGCCATTACACGAGGAGAGCTGGACAGGCCCTTAGATGAGCATCAACCCAGCAGCCCTACAAAATTACCTCCAGCGGGTTACTGGTGTGCATGTTTCTGACTCAGAAACAGACTCCATGACGGTGGCATGAGGGCCCAATACCTCTAGTGAGATCTGTGCTCACAGCCCAGCACCTTGCAGCCCAACTGGCATTCGCCATGGAATACCAGGTCTGGGAGAAGATCCCACAGGACACCATTCGCTGTGTCATCGGGAGCATGCCCAGACTTTGTCAGGAGTGTATACAGGCTCGTGCGGACCATACACACTACTGAAATTGCGGTGATGAAAGTCATCAACAATGTGGATCAGCCTATGATTTAGATTTTCGTTGCGAGTTTGAATCAAGCCCCCAATCGGTTGGCGATTTTGGTTTCCATTAACTGTTACGACATCTTGTTCTGAACAAATTATACAATGTACAGTCAAGATTTTGAACTATTGTGTTCATCTAGATCTGGTGTGATTTACAGTTTTTTTGGATTGCTTACACACTAAAATTAAAAGTAGTACACTATTAGCAAAACCTTACACTCAAGAAGCAAAACATCAGCCCATATTTGCACAACTATAAGCACATTGTCAACCTCACACACAGTGATTTGCAAAACGCTAAACATACATTACACACAAAAATCTATCATGAAGTCACTTCCTTGCAATACCAAAGCACTGACTGTCAAATTACTGCACCGTCCAACCAATTGGTTCAACACAGTCATCAGGTGTGCAAACACTTGTTTGCTTAATTGTAGACACACCAATCAGGTGTATAAGCACTATAAAAAGCAGCAGGTGAGTTCATCGGTCTTCAAGCACAATGGAAAGAGTCAGAGAAAGAGTAAGATGAGGAGGAGAACGAGGAGGAGGACAAGGAGGAGGAGGAAGGGGAGGAAGAGGAATCAACAGAGGAAGAGGAAGACAAGAAGGTGCTCAAAGAGGACCGAATCTGACAAATGAGATCCGCACAACACTGGTTGACCACGTTGTCAACCACGGCCTGATGCTGAGGGAGGCTGGACTGCGAGTACTGCCAAATCTAAGCCGATACACAGTGGCAAGTGTGATAAGAACATTTCGACTGGAAAATAGGTATTGTAAAAATCTCATCATATCAAAAACATCTGCACGGTTTCAGTAACTGCTTACAGTACTGTATTCCATGCACTATCCGCACTTCTGTTACCTTTTCCTGTGAAATTACTGTACTATTGTATACTGTTTTTATTTTTCTACATAGGATTGAGGGTCAGGAACGACAAGGGGGAAGGCCTCCTATGTTCACAGAACAGCAAGAGTGGGAGATAGTAAACATGGTTTTGGCCAACAATGCTATAACACTCAATCAGCTCCAAGCTAACATTGTCAATAACCACGCCAGTTTCAACAATATTTATCAGGTCTCAACATCAACACTGGCACGCATCCTAAAAAATGAAGCAAATTTATCGAGTGCCTTTCGAGCGCAATTCCGAAAGGGTGAAACGACTGCGGCATGATTATGCAGAGGTATGTATTCACTTTAGCAGTGTGATCTTGCATACTGTCTCATAATCTTTTACTGTACTGTAATATGTATACTAGATCTACACTGAACTGCACAATTTTGACACTGTTCAGAGAGTTTTACAAATGGATGCAGAGGAGATCCAGCATGAGTTCATTTACGTAGATGAGGCTGGGTTCAACCTGACGAGAACACGAAGGAGGGGAAGAAACATCATTGGCCACAGGGCTATAGTCAATGTCCCAGGGCAACGTGGGGGTAATATAACACTCTGTGCAGCCATTACACAGAATGGGGTCCCCCACCGCCATGCCCATATGGGCCCTTACAACACAGCACTCATACTTGCATTCTTGGACCAATTGCACAACATAACAGCAGCAAATCAATTCGATCATATGCAAGACATTGTTGTCTGGGACAATGTGTCTTTCCACCGCTCTGCTCTGGTGCAGAACTGGTTTCAGCAACATACACATTTCACCGTCCTATATCTTCCACCATACTCTCCATTCCTCAACCCTATATAAGAGTTTTTCTCGGCATGGAGGTGGAAGGTATATGATCTCTGTCTCCAGGCTGAGGTACCCCTCATCCAAGCCATGGAGGCGGCCTGTGACCAGATGGAGGTAGCAGCAATGCAAGGATGGAGTCGTCATTCAAGATGTTTCTTTCCAAGGTGTCTTGCTAATGACAACATTGCCTGCGATGTTGATAAAATTCTCTGGCCAGATCCAGATCCACAATGTGTAGTTTTTTTTTTTTTGTTTTTTTTACAGTAAACTTACAGTACAATACGTAAAGTGACATTTTGTTACGGTATTATGAATCTCCATGTTGAGAAATAAATGAGTTTCTTCAGTCTTTAACATTGGTCTTGTGTAGTGTTTGGTGAATTTACATTATATTTGTACTTTGTTGATGGTAGCCTACTCTAATCATGGGGAAGTAGAAGTGCTAAAAGTGTTTTAGGTTTATCACAGTAGAGTGTAACTCGTGCAAACAGAGTATAGTAATGTGAAACGTGTGTGTTTCATATGGTAACAAAGTGTGGTTTTTAAACAGAAGTGTATAGTTTTTACAAGAGTGTTTAATTATGCAAAGGATCTGTAGTGTTTTGCTATTTGGGTGTGTGATTGTGCTAATTGTGTGTAGTGTTTTGAAAACACGGGTCCTGTTTTGAAAATCGTGCTTAAGCAATCCAAAAAAACTGTAAGTGTTCCATTAATTTGTCTAAAAGTAATGGCTAAACTGTTGAAATAGTTATTTAAAGCAAAGTGGTTGAAATTGCTAAAAGCAGCCTAAATGAATTTATCTAAATAAAAGAAATTCTGAGATAGCTAAAAAAAAAAAAGTATGAATGATTGAAACATCTACAGGTAACAGGTTATAGATAGCTAACGGATAAATTGCTTAAATGTCTAGCTTCTGCCTCTCCAAGTGGTAGTAGCACAAATACAAATTTGACCTGACTTAAATGTTGATAGGGGATTCAGTGACAATATACACTGTAATATTAACAGAGTTAAATAACACATTTGGAAAATGCCAGGTGGTGTTGATGAAGGTGTAGTGGACTTCATCTCATAGGGCTGTGGGGATAAATCTGACAAAAGGTTGGGAACAATGTAGTAAGGTAATATAGCAAGGGCTTGGAGACTATTCAACTCTGATTAGTAACACCTGTTAAAAACCTGTTTAAAATTAAGGCTCGGAAAAGACAACTGAATGCATTCAAAGCACACTGTTGAGTTTTGTTCCAAACTTGATTTAATTTAGAAAAAATAAATGAATATGAACAATACATTTCCTTAATCATCTGAACAGCGGCTAGAACACACACACACAACAACAAAACAATTAGAAAGCAGAGAATACAGTTTAATGCATATCCTTTTAACCAGGTCATCATTCGTGATTATTGGAAAAGCGAAATCAAGTTCAAAAAGGCACACATTCAACAAACAAAATTATTACGCAACTATGAGTATCAGTATTGTTGTGACTAGTAACCATAGACCTATTGAATGTTGTCCTGAAAGCCTGGGATATCTTTTCATTTTTTTCTTAAAACTTGAATTGTGTTGGAAATCTCCAATGGCACAATTATTATATTTGCTATTTGAGGATGGTTCTGGGCCGATAACAATTTCTATTTAAAAGTGACTCCCTTTTTTGACTTTGTTGAAACCAAATTAACAATTACATTTTAGTCAGTGGGAAAAAAAATCTGAAATATAAAATTACTTTTATTACAATTAGATAATGTAGGTTAAATACTAAGAAAACAAATTTTTTTCTCTTCTTGGTTTCAGTTACCTTAGCAGTGCGTCCTTGGTGTTAATTAGGTTTCTTTAAAAACATTCTACTCTATAGAGCCAACCATCAACCAAATCGACACAACGCTCAAAAAACATGTACTTTATTTCAAATTGCTGCAACAAGGGCACTAAAAACAAACTGCAGAGAAACACACGGCCCCCCCGAGTTAAACTCACTTTGATAGAAAATATTTTCATTTAAAAGTCATGAATAAAATAAAAATACAGGAAAACATATGGTGGACGAAATGATTTGGAACACAGCTTTAGGTAGCTTTGTCCAGCCAACAGAAAAGAAAAAAGGAACACTTATTAGATTATAAGAGCACAGTTTGGTGCGGCTTTCCAACCTATCAAAAAACAAACAAAAAAAAACAATAAAACATTTGATTAACTTTAAGGAATAAATTAAAGAAACTAAACAAAAGAAATGGCCTTGCACCCATCCAAAAGTAAAGGGGAAAAAATGCAAATCTTTCTTTCACAATTTCAGCTGTGACATTTTAAGATTATTGGGTGGAAAGAAAAATAAACTAATCCATTGCCAAAGAAAAGCTGGACAACACACATCAACATTCGCACACACACACACTCACTCAGCACGTACGAACACTCGCCACATGCCTGTCAAGTTTCACACTCGTTCTCCCTCTCCCACACACACACACACACACACACAGAACAGAGCACGCTGTGGCTATTGATTGACTTGACTGACTTCACAACACATTGATAAACTGACAGTGCAATTTTTCAGACGGCAGCAGGGAACTAAAATAATAGCAAAGATGATACACCGACAGGACAAACTTCCAGACATTACAGTTCTTATATGAATTCTGTGTTGGATCTGTTTTTCCTTTTTTGTTTTAGGTTTTGAGATAAAGATGGAATGAAGCACCAGAGAAGCCGATGAGGAAAATAATAGTATTTTTGGATTCAGCACTACTTTGAAGATTAAAAAATGCCATTAAACTTCTATTAGTTATTTTAGGATTAATATAAGTTTACCTTTGTTGTCTTAACCCTTCAAACACATTTAAAACAAATGTTTAAAACAATAACAGGTTGTTTACTACATAAAACACTCTGGAGCACCATTTTCATAAACACGAGCTGAGAGAATTTTCTGAGAACAAAAATTAGAAGCCAAAAGGCCATTCTAAAAGGCAGCAATCTTGACTGGTGGCACTAAATTTGGACTTAAATGTAGACATGAGTCAATCCAGTCAACCGACTACAGTGCATCATGAAGGTGTTTCTCATCTACGGGGTTATAATGAATGACCTCTGACCTCCTGGGGGGTGGGGTGGCAGGTCAGGTCACCCTGGTCCACTACACCTGTACGATGTGAAATGCTTACTTTCCAATGTGTGTGAATTCTCTCAGGAGAAAAAGGTAGAGAAGCCTGGAAAAAGCAAAAAAGATAAAGAACGCTCTTTTCGCAGATGTTCCCTTCCCCTGTAGGTTTCTCTTCCCGCAAGGCTAGTCGAGTGATTTTGACGACACCCAGGTTTTTACAGTACCTCACAGTCCTTTGGGTTTGTCAGAGTTCTCCAAGACTCAAAAGACGTTTCCTGAAATGAATCCAGTCACAGGATATGGAAGGATATTGAAGTGTCTGTTAACTGGATAGAAGGAGTTACACAGTTCTTGCTCCTGTTGCTTTTTTGCGTTTTTTTCCCCCCCTACTTCACCATTCCGCATCCCCTATGGCTTTGGAGAAGACATAGTCTCTCCCGTTCAGATTCATGATCCCATCCTTCAGGTGGAATTTCCATTTATTCTTACTTCTGTGAATCTGGGGAGTAAAGAGAAGGAAATTAATGTTGTGGGCGTCAAGGACAGATGGACACCGTTTCATCTTACAGTGGACACAGGCTCTAATGTCTTTAGCCCATACACATTCAGCCGGACACGCTGAGATATTAGCAAGCGCTCACCAAGAGTTCTTTATAGGCAATGCATCAATTTGCGTTGTGATACACTTAGGTCAGCATGATACTGGCAATCAAACTCTGCACTCCAGTAAACCATACATCAAGTAAAATAGTGCTAATGCCTAAAATGCCTCTTTAATATTGTACTACATGGCAGCCATTTTTTTTGTTAAAAAAGGAGATGAAGCCAGCTGAGAAAACAATTTAAGAGGCGCTTTTTTCTTATGTTTTATTTACGTCCTTTTGTGTAGTTCAACTGTTGCATTTGTTGTCTCCATGGTTATCACCAGAAATATAGTGCCTAGAAAAGAAAAATAGTGCCTATTTTGAATTTTAAAAAAAACTTTGCAAATGATAGAGGTGACTCCTATTTGCTTCTGCCTATATATGTGTTAGTCCTGCAATTGACTGGTGACCTGTGCAGGAGAGAGTTGGTGAGCTGAAATGAAACAACTAGTAAAAAGTAAACAAATTTGGCAGTATTTATACACGCAGGTTGACGGAGTTTTGTTTTTCTCTCACAGAATAGATTATCTCTTACCTTGTCATACTGGCACACGACTACATTCTCTGTATCAAATAGCTCCTGGTCCTCCTCATCACTGACATCATCCCCACTGTTCAGTGGCTCCTGACGAGGAAACACAACCAACAAGTGTTACAATAATAAATGTTCCAGATATGGCGCAGCTGCCATCCAACAAGCATTTGTTCTGTCTGTTTGTTGTTTCCCCTTATGCCCACCTCTTCGACCTGCCCGTCCTCTCCCCCATCCTTGTCCTTCTCCTCCTCTTCATCTTCATCATACTCCTCTTCCTCATCCTCGTCCTCTTCTGAGGAGGTGTCTCCGGCGCCATCCACCTGCAGCATCATAGGAGGCTGCTGGGCCTGCGGCTGGGCTTGCTGCTGGGCCTGGGGCTGCGCTGCGACCTGTTGCGCAGCTGCACCCTGGGCCTGCTGAACCTGCTGGACCTGCTGGACCTGAGCTGTTGCTGCCTGACCAGTCTGCTGCGCCATAGCTGCTGCTTGCATCACCTAATGGGAATACGTGCCCCAGAGGAGAAAACAGCGATTGTCAGGTTATTAATCTAATTAGCTAGTTGCAGTTAAAAACAGCATAACTATGTATGAGGAAAAAAAATATATAATAAAAAAAAATGTAAAAAAAAATACTATTCTAAATCGAGCTTCCTGTCCAACTTTGAGCATGCAAACGGTAAGATTAACACACATATGACAAGGCAAAAAAGGCAGGAAATACGGTGGGAAAACAGAACTATGTGTTAGAGAAAACTCATAAGTGCATGGCAAACTCCCAGAAAAGGTTTAAATTTGGAAGGAATTGAAGAGATGTTTACCTGTGTATTGCCTTGGACTTTATTTCCTGAAGCTAGGACAATCTGCTGCGGCTGGATGATGACTCCTGTTTGCTGGGAGAGGCCTCCCTGTAGAGGGGCCAGGACCTGCACAGACACAAAACAGAAGAACATAAACATTAGCGTACTGTGTCTTTTGAGACATTTAAGGGAATTACATTACATTATTACTTATTCTATTTAAACCCTTTTGTCTCCCCCTTTATGACAGTGAGAGCAGTTACAACACTGTCGACATGTGCTTATGGTGTATAGCCTCTGACATGCAGAGTTGCTGCTGTTGCTACAGTTATTCCCCATTCAGCTCCGGCAAATCATTGGTGGTTAGCATAAAACACATTTCTACCAGATCGCCAGTGTGGGAATGTCTCCATAGACATCAGATTTAAAAACTCCAGTATACTGCAAAATACAGAGCGATTTGCCAGCAGTGATATGCTGAATCAACATTGTGTGAACTCATTTGACAGGGGCATGAATGTAACGGACGTGATGCATTTTAACTGCATATTACTATTGCTGGTTCTATTGGAGATGTCACTGATATAAAGGTCATGGATAATGTTTCTTTGGGGGAAAGGGTGACGTGAGAGTGAGCAAGTGTCATCCTGATTTTCCAGAATTATTTCTATGTTTTTCATGGAATTAATTTCCCCACAAGTCAACTTATTATTATAACTTTTTTCCAAAAGTTGGTTCTTCCACTGTCTTAAACGCCAGAAGACCAACAGCTGTGTAACCAGTGTTATTTAACGCACTTGTCAGGGACTGATTAGACAGAGGATATCAATTATTACATACTATGTGCTGTTAATTGCTACTCTAAAAAGGCATTAGATAAACAAAATACATGCAGCATGTTATACATGTTGCCCTCCTAGCCCAGTTTGTGCTTTTTAAAGGCGTTGCCTGTTTACCGAAACTAGGTGTTCCTACCTGTCTTATGGAGCATACCTGTTGTATGACCGGTGCCTGCACGCCACCAGGCTGCATCTGCTGCTGAAGGAGGATCTGCTGCTGGGGCTGCTGGATGATGTACTGAGCCCCATTGGGAGCACGGACCACCTGCAGGATCTGACCTGAGACCACAAAACAGAAGAAATGTGAATGAGGTGAAAGTGCACGCATCTCTTGAAACTGCCAGGGGAACAGGGAAGCAGTCAATGTACTGTATAACAGTAAACATCATGAATTCACTTAATTTGGCAATTTTACGATCTAAGTATTTCTTCACAAGCTGATGCACAGATAAACTTGTGAGTGTTTCACCTTGGCTGGTGATGAGCTGTTGGTATGGCGTGACGCCTGTGGGCAAAGCAAGGGTTGCTGCGGTAGCTGCTGCACTCTAGAGGAGAAAGGGAGAACACACATTCAAGAGTGAAACAAGGCAGTGAGGTATACACCCACTTGTACACACACACACACCTACAGTAAGTCAAAAGCAAAAATGATATGAGACTATACACTAATGCAGGATTTTAGGGTTTAGCAATGTGGAAAACAATTTAAAATAAAAACCAGGTACACACATTTTATTTATGACTTCAGTGTTGGAACACATTTCTCTTGAGATATTTAATTATTCATGAAATACAACACAACCTCTTCACAATTACAGTGCTAATATTCCATTCCCTTGGTTGTCACGATTAAAGCAGCCTTTATACATTTGCATTAATTAATTGTATCTGCCAGGTGTGACGGTGAAAGGTTAGGAATTTGCAAGCGAAGCTTACAAAAAAGGTGTTTGAGAATAAAGACAAGTTTACGACAACCGCACAGATGCAAGCCTCGACATAAACAGATGGCTTGCCAAATAGAAGTGTTGCTGAGAGAAGGAAGTACAAAAGGAAGGGAAGTGTTGACACTGTGAAAGAAATTAAAACGGATGAAGGAAAAGGCGGAGCACAGGAGCATGTAAGAGGATCTATTATCCCTGGCTTTATCTCCGCTGTAATCCAGGCTACTATATAACTCTCTGAAGGTCCTTCCTCTCCTCTCTTTCCTTCCGTCCTTCTGCCCCTCCATCTGTCTGTTACTAGACCAGTCATCCTGCTCTCAGGAAAAAGCCTGCAGAGACACATTAAGATCCTCCTCTTCCTTTTGGCTGGCAACAAAATATGTGAGTGGAAAAAAACCTGTAAAATCGTTTCCCCTCAATAAAAAATATATTCTTGCTTGTAGGTTTTTGAACAACACCTCCAAATTAGATTTTTCTCACTGGCAAATTGGCAAGTGTGTGACCAAAACAAAGTGTCGCACTTACAGATCAGCTGAACTTATAGAAATTCCTGCTTAGTCTTGTTCACTGCCCATCAACAAGCTGTCAACCTGCAACTTGTCAACAATGTCATATGGCTGTGGCTACAGTTTTTGGTTTACTTCCATAGTTGTACTAGTTTTTAAACTACTCTGTAGTACTTTAACTGCTCCCACTGTCTAGTGAGAAAACCATTTAATGAACATCTGTAGTAGCAGTGCGCCTGTTTGCTCAGAGAGCGCTATATATATTTATTAGTAGCAGTGTGAACAGCAGCAGAGCACATCACATTTGATATAGTCATGAGTGTACTACCAACTTTGTAGTAAGTTAAGTATGGTAGTCACAGTAAACATGTATACTGTGGAGGTCAGAAAGTGTTGCATGCATCTACTGTTTGATGAGCACAAAACCCAAACTGTAATTATGTTGCTTTCACAAGTATACAAACGACTTACCATCCCCGTTGCATTCATGTGCTGTATAATCTTGGAATCCTGAACAATGACTTGCTGCTGGGGAGCTGTGGAGAGAAACATGTTTAACTCCATGACATACCGAAAACTATTCAAAGCATCGTGAAAAGAAAATGATTAAACAGAGGGGAAAAAAGGTCTGTGAACACTAGTTTGGTGAAGTCATTTATCTACTACTGGCTCTTAAAATCTAATGTTTAAATAATCTGGCAGTTGTGCATAGTAAATCACTTCTACAATATAAACTTTGGTCAAGATTAATAATAAAAAAAAAAAACCTCATAGTGGGAAAAGAATTCAACACTGTAAATGTGTTGTTCAAATGGGCATTTTTGTGGTGTGTAAATATGGCACTGACAGACGTTTCTACTGTTGAGTTTATTGCTAACTGTTCTTTACCACCACACTGTGGTAGCGCCAGTGCTGACCAACCTTGCTGTTGCTGAGGAGGCAGGATAACTTGCTGGGCTTGTGTTGGCTGGGTCACCTGCTGAACCTGCTGCTGAACCTGCTGAACCTGCTGCTGAACCTGCTGCTGCTGCTGCTGCTGCGCGGCCTGCAGGGCTGCCTGTTCCTCAGTATGGAAGCCCTCCACTGCCTTGGACTGCAACAGTTTGTTTTCCCATAGCTAAAGCATCAGGCAAAAGAAAGAGTAGCACCATTTACTTTATTACTGTATGTGGGACATTCTCAAATGAGTAGCCGACATTTGGGAAATCATAATAAAAGCACGATACCGTTAGGTTCCTACACTACAATGAACTGAGGATGAAGCAAGCCTCAACACACTAGTGGTACTTCCCCTATAGATGTTTTGCACACAGGAACAATAAAGCTGGAAAAAGTTACCGTTTTCAGCTCCAGAAGCACTTGCTCATCCACTCCCTCATCCAGGAACAGCTCTCGCACCTCGTTGATCACATCCTCAATCACAGACTTATATAGTTTAGGCTATGAGGAAGCAAGTACAAAAAGAAAGAAAACACATTTTTGATCAGAGTTTGCTTAAAAAGAGACCCTCCATATCTTGTATGATCACTGTTTTTCCCAAGATTTACTTTCACATAGAATTTATGGAGCTTGGCATTTAAAACTATGTTTAATCAGTTACTAACAGTGCTTACCAGCTGCTGTAACCGCAGCAAATCATTACATGAACAACCTCCTATGTTCCAACACATTCAATTTTGCCTTACCAAATATGCACAACATTATATAGTAATATCTGTTGTACAAGTAAATGTAAAATAATCACTGAGATTTAGCTGTGCCGTATACACGGCCCTGTCTGCTTTGTTTTACCGCAACAACGTAAACCTAAACGCGACAGACACGCAGGCCACCGCACTGCGCTCTCTGCACTGCATTGTCCCCAATGTCCGCAGCACGGACCCAGGTCTCTCCTTCCCTCCCCTCGGCCTGTCTGCTCCACTATTTAAAGCACAGTCTGGTGTTTATATGTAGAGCCGGTGACGTAGCGTCGAGTAGCACCTTCCCATCCCGGGCAGTCTATATTAGAGAGCCAATATGGCTGTATAAAACCAGGCACCAGCAAGGAGGAGGGCCAGAACCGGAGTGAGGGGAGACGTGGAAGCCATTTTACGGAGCGGCAAGCAGCGCGCTCGACAGCCCCGTACATTATACGATACGTGGCGTAATGTCAAGGATATTTTCGGTGTAGTATCTTATGAATGCTCAGTTTTGACTAAGTTGTATGGTCTTGTCGGTGGGGAGCAGGACACAATAGTTATGAGATGGGTAAAAGTGGTGGTTTGGGACGGCTACCCTGCATTCTGGTCGTGGAATGGTGGACAATGAAGAGGCATTAAGACTGAACGTTGACGACTTCAGCCTAAAAGCCCTTTAATATACATTTAACGAAGCGTAATTCATTCGCAGTGGATGGTGGCAATGTGCTTTGCGTACATCTACATTTGATATTATGCAAAGTAATATAGTTTAGCTTATATTTACCATTTGTTCTTTCCTACCGACTCATCGACGCAAGCAACGCTTTGGCCCTAAATCAGTAACAGTTACAGTAACAGCACAAACATCAAATGCCGATAATCAATATCTTAAAATGTAACGAGAAAAAAAACAACAAAAACAAGAAGCATCTGAGACACTAACGTTACCACGAACTAATTGGCGGCCAATTCGTTAAAGCTTCAACCTGACAGACAGCCCAAAACTTGCTACTTTTACACATTCATCACGAACCCTAAACTTCTATACCATGTTCACTTATTTTCTTACGTGTTTTTTTTTTATTTAAGCAAAACAGCTCCTCTCACGTTAGCCATACTGCTCCTACCAGGTGGTTTTATCTGAAAGAATAACGTTAGTCTAACGTGAGTTTCGAAAACTGATTAAAATGGCCGATTGACTGAACCTAAGTCTTCCTTTTATTTGATAGAACAGTGAAGTGTTTGTAAAAGCAGATACATTTTACTGAAATATATAAAACCAGCTCATAGACAGCTTTCTAATATCTTTCCCCCCCATTTTCCCCCCACTGGCAATCCTTAGAGATTGATCCTTACCACTGGGTTCGAGTTAGCCGAGCTCGCCATTATACGCGTAGTGTAAAAACCACACGGAAATAGGCGAGAAACAGAGCCAAAAATAACGAAAAACGACTTAAAACAACTGGGAACGATATTTGAAAACAGCCGGCATCACTTTTGTAAATAAAACACAGTTTTAACGGTCTTATTTACAATCCCGGGCTGCGACTCCCCAGCCGTCCTCCGTCCGTCGTTGTCCTGCTTTATATACTGAGCGATGGAGCTGCGAGTGCGCGAGACATAGGGCAGGGTCAAGCCGTACATAGCGCGAGATTTGGTGCGGTATATGACGAGCAATAAACACACCCACTGCTGGTAAATGTAGTTTAAATGTGTTCAATTGAAAGTAAATGTGCGCAGATCGCATCAGCTTTATAATGCTCAGTGATCTTCTTTACTGAATTAGGCCAACTGTAAATACTACGACCCACATAAGGAATTAACCAGCCATGCTTTGCACGCAACAGTACATGATTGTAAGATAATATAGGCTAGATATGGAATAGTAATTAATCAATTTGTGTAACAGTAAACAAATATAAAGACAAATCTGAATTTCATCTTAAGCTTTGTTGTGCAGTGTAAGCCAAATTATTAGAAGAGGGGAAATTGCTGTAAAATGTGATGACAGAACAGAAACACTGTTATAGGCTACAATTCTAAAATCCCAGTCCTTTGTAATGGGTCTCCATTAAGACTTTAGTCTGACACACTTCACGCTCAAATGTGTATTTTGTCTTTGGCCATATCTCTTGAAGTGGTCAGAATTTACTGAAAACAAGTGTATAGACTGTAACCTATAATGGAAATATGGTACCAAATTTGTGTAGCCTGCTTCATGCTGTCAAATAATTACAGGAAAAGATCCAACTTACTCTAGAAGGTACTTGTACTTTACTGGGGAAATTACACATTTACTTTGCTACACCTATCCAACAGCTGTAGTTACTCGTTTGCAGATGAAAATATGATATACAAAATGTGGTTTAGTTTATAAAAGATCTCAGTTTTTATAGATTATACTTCTGTTAAAGTAGGCCTAGTTCAAATGAGCTGAACTAAGACCAGATACAACATTTACATTCTTATAGGCCTACATTCATCAATAATAATATAAATAGTAGCAGTGACATCAGTAAGATTTCGAGTGCGGGACTTTTACATGCAATGTAGTAGCTTCTCCCTGGTGTAGGCCTAATAGGCTACCAAGTTAGGATCTGAATACTTTCTTTGATACAACATGGATGTTGCTTTTAATAACTTATTTTGTAATCTGCAATGGAAAGTTCAATTTCAACCGTTGAGAAGTTTGATTCAACCATCTTCAGACCCAAGCCGTAGCTGTCTGCCTCAAGCAATTGCCACGTGTATGCTATTAAAATTATTACTATTCAAATTATGTTTGTAGTTTAACAGTGCTTCTCTGGGAATATTTGCTGCCACTGTTTATATATTTCAAGAGCACTTTTCATGTAGTAGTAACATCTTGCCGCCACAAGAGTATGATCACACTCTACATAGCTGCCCTACCAGAGCTCCAGAAAACAAGCACTTATGCCAAGACACACAAACACACACACACACACACACACACACACACACACACACACACACACACACACACACACACACACACCGATACATTCACTCTGTATAGCATGCAACTATTTTACATGTAATTCAAGTAGGGGGGTTCTATCTGTTTACTCACAAATATCCCTGTCTAGACTTCTTGGGGTACATTTACAAAAACATGAGATTTGACAAGAGGATGTTACCTCAACTTCTGTCTCCATGGAAACTTGCCTCACTGGTCATTCTGTGGACAGATGAAACCACGCCCACTTCCGTATGATGACACCCACGACGGCGGCGTTCCCATGGAAACCGCGCCAACGCCGTCTGCGAAATATGACAGCTACCTTAAAGCCTATTTTGGAAACAGCAGATGTGGTAGAGATAGTCATCTACTTTTATTAAAAGGTACAAGATGATGCTTAGTATATAACTTCCCAGCCAGTCCCTATTAAAAACAATGACTTCGACAGCATTAGAAAACATGTGGCCCAGTTCATAAGTAGTGATGTTGAGACAAGGTAGCTTACAAGGTTGTTTATTTGTCATTACACAGCACAAGGCTGCATAACAAAACAAAATTTGTAGTTCCTCCATGCTACACACACAATATATAATTAAGTATTAAATTACAAACCTTCAGTGACTGTCATGCCAATTAGGCTACTTTGAACTGAAGGACTGCATTCCAATAAGCAAAGGAAGGAGGAAACTTCCTGTCACTTTAAGAGCTAGCTATATAGGCTTACATTTTTTTCATCATATAAATGATAAGTCAACAAGGGGCTACACATAATAGCATCTATGCTTGACTCAAACTGTTAAGTCGTGGTCCTTCAGAATTAACATTTCCCATTACTCAACACCACACTCACTGAACACACAGTTAGACAAGACATGCCAGCTATAATTCTTGTCTCATTTGTGGTCTGATTAACAAATTAAATCAAGGCTCGACAAAGGAAGAGTAGGGGAGAGCCGGAAAGATTGAAACACTTTTCAGATTTACGTCATTTAAAAAGATAACGTTACTGACGGAAATAATTTGTTGTTGTGATCAACAACTCACGTGTGTGTTCTATCAATACCAGGTGCTATCTTATAAAATGTGGAACGACTTCAGTCTAATTTGAGTTTAAACGAAAGATGTGCATTGTGTCATTCGTCCCTACTGTGCGGGACAGATGTAACACTGGGGTGGGGGGAAGAAACACAACGATGTTATTCTTGTTTTTATACAAAATGCTTGACAGTGTCCTTATTATTTAATTGCAAACATGTCATTTTTTTCTTAATAAAAAATATAAAAATATTATTTTTAGAATATCAAACAGTTAATGCACATTAGGATTGGATCTTGGCTGCCCTTTTTATGATCCTCTGCAGCCTGTTTTCCTGGTCCACTGTGAAGTCCCTATTATTTGGCTGCCAAAATCCTGGTGGTCTAGCCAGAAAAGTGGACTGCCCCCTCCTTCTGTATTTAAATAGGGTAGCATGGCTACGTGTCAGGACGATTGAAGCAAGTATTTCAATCGCTTTATTGAATTTTCTTTTCTGTAATTGAAAAACAGCTTCTTCCATATAACTCTGTGAAAGTGTGACGTATCCACATGATTTTTCGCAGTTTTGGTAAGTACTGTGTACTGTCTGTACTGAGCTAGTTTGTTGTGTTGAATGTTAGAAATAATCTATCATCGGACGCAGCAAGAATATTTATGTATGGTAAGATCCTTTTACACATGTCTTTCTGCATTACATGTTGGGGGCAGGCTGGGGAAACGAAAGGAAAGTATAAAACCTCTTGAGTCCTTGTGCAAACAAACTCTTAAAATGTTGGATTAAAAAACCTTATCACTTTCATCATTGCAGGATACTTGAGAAATGTAATTTGTTTAGCTTTGAGAATTTTACAGTTTTTCTCATTTGTGTTTAGTTTACAAAACTTTAAATGGCTTGGCGCCTCCTCCACTATGTGGTTTTGTGTTTACACGCTCAGCAAAATCAATAAGGTCCTCCAGGATCTCCTTTATTGTGTCATACCACTCCGCCGTACTGCATATGGGCAGTTGATGTGAGGAGGCTGCAACTTCATCAGTATGTTCAGCTGCTCAGCTCTGCAATCACTGACTCAGACATT